CCAACCTCCACTCTTTTCATATGGCACTCTGCTGCAATACTGTTCTCCTGGAAGGTTCCTTGAAGTTATTTTGGATTCCAAACAGTCCTGGCGAGACCACATCTTTCCAGGCAAAGAAAACCTTATCGCCGCTTCCAAATCTTATAAACACTGTCTCACATATCTTGGGGCTCAGACCGCAAAACTCTCCTCCATCTTCATACTACATTGGTCTCCTCCAATCGATTATGGTTGCCATATCTATTCATCTGCCTCTAGCCCCATCCTTGCTCATTGTGATACAGTCCACCACTGCGGTCTTCACTTTGCCCTAGGTGCCTTTCACTCCTCTCCAGTTGAGAGCTTGTACACTGAGACAGACATACTTTCTCTCTTTTGACGTCGTGTCCCTCTCTCTCTTCGATGCTATGACCGCTGCCACCAACTCTCCCTCACTAAACTAAATATCCTTTGATCTCTGCTTCTTGCCTTTGCTTCATCTCCACAATTATTAATTCCTGTCACCATTCCTATGGATACTCTCCATTCCCATTTCCCCTCTCCAACCTCTTCCCTTTTCTGCCCATGCCGTTCCTCCATGGCTTATACCTTACCCACACGTTAGCTCCACTGTTTTCCCTGATGCACCAAAGTCAGATATATCCCCTTCTGTCCTATACCATTTCCTTGAAGATCTCTCTACTCATTCCTCTAGCATACATGTTTACACATGGTTTCAAATCCACCTCCGGTGCTGGTTTCGCAGTTGTCTTTCGAACCCGCTCAGTCAAATACCCCCTCCCTCCTGAGTCCAGTGTCCTTACTACAGAACTACGTGCAGTCCTTTTTGCCTTAAAACACATATACTCTTCCCCATCCTCCTCTTTCACCATTTTTACTGACTCCCGTCACTTACTATCTCTCATAAAGTCTATGCACTCAAGCAACCCCTTTGTCTGAAAGACTGAGGACTGGTTGTTCTACTTATCTACACGATACAAATCGGAATCCCAGACGATGAATAGGCAGATACTCTAGCACACTTAACCTCTATGTTCAAACCAAACAACCCCAGTCTTTCACATATTCCAGCCATGGATTACTACTCTTACTTTAAGACTTTCCTTTATGCTCGATGGCAAACCTTTTGGTCCAGTCTTGTCACCAATAAATTGCATACAGTAAAAACATCAATCTCCTTTTGGTCAACTTTTTTATCTGGGGGGTCTGCTTAATACAATTGCTCAAAATACTCAGCCCAACGTTCACGTACCCCAACATTATCTGAGATGATCCGTCCATCCACTGAGCGGACTGCAGACATCCGTGGGGAGGGATTGGAGTTCAGTTTTCTATGGGCTTGGTAGGCAGGACGAAGGTCATTTATTAAGAAATGTCCTCTACCTCCTTGGCAAGATTCCTGATGAACTGTTCCTTATCCCTTCTCAGCGGAGTCCTAGGCCTGCGCACCAAGGAACGGAATGCCGTTCAGACAAGCCATGCAACATGCATCTGTGGCCTCCAATGTCTCCAGCGAGATGAAATTCTGCCTAGTCCTCGGGCGTTCACCAATGGACTCCTGGGCTGCATCGAATGTTTCACTATTAAAAGAATCCCATAGGGCTCCAGGGTCTGTCAAGTTTTCAAGCACTGTTAACCGATCAGAGATTGCTGCAGCGAACCTATGCGCACACTCCTCGTCCCCCAGCCGGTTCAGGTGAAACACCCTAGAGTGATTACTAGAGTGAACCCGCAGGGTCGCTACAACCAATTCATGATCAGTGCCA